CCCGCCGCCACGCCTGTAGTCACTTCGGCCACAGCTGCGTTTGAAGCCTCTTCGTCTTCTGTGGCAACCCTCTCAGCTGTCACTCCCGCCAGCTCCACCGACACCACCACGTCCGCTTCCACCCCCAGCCCGACTGGCACCTCGTGCACTGCCTCATGCTGTTGCCAGAATGGTAAGCCATGTTCTCCGCCGTGTGGATAGAACACCGCCTGACTATGTTTTCAAAAGAATACAACGCCTGTGCTGCCGCGGGAGGGAGTGATTGCGAAGCGGCTGCAGAAACGTGCATGGAGACCGTGCAAACGATCCGCAAGATCAAGCGCTCGGGAACGCTGGGTCGTCGACTCTACTAAAGAGTACGCGTGGAGATTTATTCCCTCGTTTACTATATTCACACGATAACCACTGAGTGGTCTGCGTATCATTCCTGTTCGCGCATTCTCGCCATTCTCTGGAAGTGTAGGGGGGCATGGCGCGGATGGGCAGGTTAATTAGAAACACTTTACATTGTATACTGTCACTTGGGAGCAATATATACCGTCGCAATGTTCGCGATGAAGCTTTCATAGTGGATTCTGAAGGTGAGCAAGAAATAGGTGGTCTCTGTCACTCGCGGTATTTGGCGTAAGCAAATGACCCTTGAACGTGTGAAATGACGCAGAGCTTCTCTGTTTGTTACAGCATTGAATCAGGAGTGAAGAAACACCTGAAGAACGTAATGTACCTTTCAAGTCACTCTTTATCGAGTTGCTCTTTCATTCAAGCTTCTCCCTGTGTGACAAAGCTATAGGCGTTTATTATGTTCTTTACCCGCTCAAGACTGTTCCGTTCTTCAGTCGCGATGAAGCTTTCATGGTGGGATTCTGAAGGTGAGCAAGAAATAGGTGGTCTCTGTCACTCGCGGTATTTGGCGTAAGCAAATGACCCTTGAACGTGTGAAATGACGCAGAGCTTCTCTGTTTGTTACAGCATTGAATCAGGAGTGAAGAAACACCTGAAGAACGTAATGTACCTTTCAAGTCACTCTTTATCGAGTTGCGCTTTCATTCAAGCTTCTCCCTGTGTGACAAAGCTATAGGCGTTTATTATGTTCTTTACCCGCTCAAGACTGTTCCTTCAGGTCCAGGATTATCTTGTGTGGCGTAAGACTCGTTACTGACTCGGATGAGATAGAGTTGGAAGAAGCTACAAGATAACGAGATCGACGAGGATGAGATGGCGCGCGCTCGTAAAGAGCAACTCGGGGTTTTAGTAGGTAAAGGACTGCGAAAAAGGCTGAACGTGATCGTACAGCCCGATCGATAACCAGGCCGAGCCCCACACTACGACAGTGTCGTGTGCGTAATGCATTTTACCCGAAACCATCTCACAACCTCACCACGTCGCGGCGAACAGACTGAGAAAATCGGTGCTGTGAGCCGTGCCAGCAAAGCTGGCAGCGCGCATCCAAAAAAAAAAGAGATAGAGTACGTTCCTGTAACACCTTCACACGTTAGTAACAAGCCTTTCTTCCGCCTTTCGAAGCTCAATTCAATCCAAACAAGCGGAATCGACTGGAGTTCATCCAATGAGGACTCATAAAAGCAGCTATTCATAAGACATTCAATAGAAACAGTCATCACGTCTTCGCGATGCTATGTGTCCTACGGATCTCCAGCGTCGTCCTCGCCATAGCCGGCGGAATGAATGCTTCAGGAACAAAGTCTATCCCATATCGAGCGTCCCCTTGCAACAGCTCAGAATGTCTGTAACCAATTTCAGCATGGGAGAACATAGACTAGAAGTCAACTTACGTTTCATTGAGATGCGATTTAACAGCAGTCAAACTCTGCGGTAGCCCCTCTGTTGGACCGTCTGCACAATGAAGGCAGTTCCAGTAACGCTCGTCCACCTCCGTCGAAAGGATTTTGCAACACTTCTTGTCCTTTATCTGAGATGGCAATATGAGGTCGTCTTCGTTAGACGATAGAGAGCTCGACTGTGCGTGGATATGGGATACCTATGCAACTATAAGCCATCGCTCACACAAAGATGCCAAAAGTCTTACATATTTACGCCACCCGCGAACTTTATAGACGTGCTTCTTGCGAGGACAGCACGTCTCAGGACACGCAAAATACCCTTCAAATTTATCCATAGCCTCGACAGTCGCAGTCGCCGGGTCCAGTCCAGCGCGCGCCACGACCTCCTTCACAATCCTCTGCATCTTCTTGCTCTTCACAAGATTATCGGCTGACCACGGCCGGCGAATGCGTCTCCCGACCCAAGGATGCGTGCGCCTAAACGAGTGCGCCAGCCGACCCCGCGCCGAGCTAGCCGGCTTGCCACCAACTATGATTGTCTCGCACCCATCATATATCTCTAGATTACCCAACTCGGCATCCAGCGAGTTGCAGCGGTGCGTGAGCACCTCGGGATAGAAAAGTGGGATATCACGACACATAAAATGCTCGCATACCATCACGCGCGAAGTCTGGCGTAGAAGATCAGGTACCTCCGAAAACTGCTTCAGCGACACAGAACCCCGTATGACCTTGGCTAGTTCGTCACGTATCTGCTCCAACCATCGGTCGTACAGCTCTGGCATTTGTGGGAGGACATCAGTAAGACGGCCGGCATCCACATGCTCATTGGTAGGGAGATTCAGCATCTCATGAATGGGTGGGAACTCACACACATCTGTGATGTTGGGGAAGACAAGTCCGAGCCCGACGTTCTCAGACGTGAGGAGCTCCCGTTTGAACGGCCGAAGTACTGTGTGGAGAACGACGGCCATGCGCTGGTCGACGAATAACAGGCGTTCTTTCTTGAGCCGGTGAGAACGCTGTTCCGCCAAGAACTCGACCATTTTGTCCTTTATCAGGCGCCAATCTGTGTGTTGGACAGATGAGCATCATGATCCAGATAACAGATCTAAATTGCACCAACCCGTTTCTGTGAAAGGCCCCGACGGTTCGATGTCCAAGCATTCATGTTGCTTGTACAACTCGGTGTCCTTGACCCATGGCTCATCGAAGCCCAATTCTTCAAGTCTTTTCCACACCCTAAGTACTCATCATTGTTTCTTTTCGCCAGTTGACAGTCAGAAGAAGACGAACGCTACCTCGCGTTCCTTTCTCCACTTCTCTACTTGCAGCTTCTTGGCCGACTCATGTGCTTCATGCTCTATTCGTTCAGCGCGGTGTTTCTCGCGCAACCAATCATCTGCGGACCGAGCTGACTATATGAGAGATCAGCAATGAAGATGCGCAGAAGCTGATATGTACCTACCAAAGCGCGACGGGCCAAGTATTCATATTGAGAAGATAGATAGGCATTCTCATCAGATTGGGAAGATAATTCCGCTTTGACTGCTTCATAATCACGAGGAAGACAGGCGCTCTCTACATGGATTTTCCTCACTGTTCGAACTAGGAGATGATTAAAAGCACTGTTTCGAAGTCTAAGGCACACTACTTACCGGTAGTTGGTGTCAAGGACCAAACTTTCCGAACAGTACATGTCTCCTCATCACCTTCATTTCGACGCATCTGATCTAGGCTCTTAAGCCTGCGCGAACATTCAGACCTAGAACCACAAAATTGAAATCTAGGCGCACTCTTTATTGCGGCAATGAGAGCAAAGCCTGAGTCTTAGCATGAAGTCGGGCTTGACTGGTCTCCACAGCATGCCACAAAGCTGAGCGCGCGTCAGTGAGATTAAACCCGAAAAGAAATAAGCGTACATTGCAGTACTCCCCATATACCAGCGCAATCCAGGCAGAAGGTGCCATGTCATCAGGACACGGCGGAAAATCTGGTCCTGGAGTGTTCTTGAGAGCAGCTTTCCAAATAGGCATAGCTGAGCGACACATGAGATTATCCCTCAAGAGATGACTGGTACGAGACAGTCGAAAGACGTCGGTTGGACTGAGATAGCTGAATATCTATCAGGGTGGTTGTAACGACCATACATGCATAATGCGAGAATTAGACATGCCTCCAGGCAAACGTCCATAGGAAGGTCCATGAGAAGTGCAGTCGGAGAGGATGAGAGGGCGTTATCGGTGGAGACGAGTCGCGCGCGCGCTACCATTGTAGAAAGAATACAGGAAATTTCCAGGAGGTGTTCGTGTTCGGTAGATGAACGTCAGAACGAAGGAATCGGTCCGGAGTTGCCGATCATTCTTTGCGGAATTTATTGCCCACAATGCCCTCCGTTTAGCCAGAGACTGGGCAGAGAAAGCTCGATTGACGCGCCGCCGCTGTGCTAAGCCTGCGTTTAACCGTGGTCGGTAAGCATGTCAAGCTTAGGGGAAGTGAATATCTCATAGCCAGCTATTGAACGGCGGACTCTGTGAGGTACAGTAAGGATGAATTACAATGGTAAACGACATATGTACAATGGGACTCAGTACTCAGCATATCACGGTTCTCAGCTCGGTTTTCCCACTATTGGTATCGGCCGCTTCGAAAAGAGCACCTTTCGTTTGACAATCGCGACTGCCTGCCAACTAATTTCTCTCTTTTGCGTCTGATTGAACCCGGCGTCATCGGTGACATCCATAGGGAAATCATCATCATCGTCTGATTGTTTCGGACGCGTTTTATGCATGATCGCCAGTGGTTTTTTGAGAGTGACAATCTTGCCCTCGAGGAGATGGTGTCCTATACGCAGAGTTGGGCGTTTCTACGACGCGTCAGCGAGATGCGGCGCGTGGAAAGCGAGCAAGTACGTTACCAGGTCGTCATCTAGTGTCAACTTACCCACCAGCTTCCCATCGCGCTCCCCTTCATAGGTGCTCTCTACGTCGAGCGTGCCCTGCAGTTCAACAAGGACGATCTCGTCGTGTGACACCTTAGCCACGGATGGTGGCAGTTTTAAATTGGATGTGGAAGGGAGCACGAAGTCGACGGGGATGATCATGGTGGAAAGGGAAGACGCGTTGTATTGAAAGATGTTTCATTTATTAGCCAAGCAATGTCTGTAGTATACATAGACTTGTGGGGTCCTATTCACAAGTCGGTATCGATTAGGGGTTAAATCACTTCGTTGTGGTTACAGCATTCCGAAGAGCCACAGGTTCGATTCCTGTTACCGACACTGTACCTTTCGCCTATACTTTTGCTGGTGTGGCGCTTAGGCCATTTTACTTAGGGACCAGGGTGGACCCGGGACCGTGACCCGTCGGCGCGGCGCGCTGTAAATATTTCAACCCTAGGTCACTAAGGCAGGCCGCAGTAAGGCTGTTTGAAGTTTGAATTCAGGCTTAGGCTAAGACTTGAATCTTGATTACTACTAACTAGTGCGTGCGCCGTGCTCACTTCTAGTAAGCTTTCTTTTCGTTCAGAGCATCAGGTAGCATTAACTGAAATGCCGACACACAGCCTGTGACACAGCACAATCCCATGCAGCCAAGATACAACACACTGCAACAAGATGAAGATACAGTACTATCACAATTCGTGTATATACCTACTCGTGCGTTAGGATGGCATTCCCTCAAGGAGAGGCTCTAGCGCTAGGTCAGCAGCGTATGTCCTCTCTTTCGCCTTATGAACCAAAGCTGGGCCAGCCCACCACAGTTTTCTCATCTTAGGCAACGTGTCCTTCAGACGTCTAACGACAGAAAGCTGTTCAGATGCAGGCGCATCACATTTGATCATATATTCTAGCGCGCAGTGGAGGAACCCTGTGAAATAATTCAGAAAGAATGGACACTAGTTGGAGAGAGCAGCATTCAAGGTCAGCCCTACGCACACGTATGAGACTGATCGTCGGTTGCGTATCCGTCGGCAGCCTTGAGGTAGCAACTCGCGGCGGCGTGAAGGTGCTCTTTGGATTCGTCGGCATCGGCATGGCTGAGCTGTTGTACATGGTGGTGCCCCAAGGCCCTAATCGGTGATTCAGCAAAACATGCCGAATACAGAATGCTCTGCTCACGCATAGGCTGTACCCGAGCAATTCTTGTGAAAGGCCCATATGCTGGCGATGTTCAATCCGGCTGTATCGCCAGCGTCGATGTCCTTTATCAGTTCACGCGCCTCCGTTGCAAGCAAGGCGAGCAGGATGTCTCGGTCTTCACGATTGTCACTGGCGTGCTATACGGAGATCGACCGCTGGAATATACAAGAGCAGAAAACACCCTTACCTCCATGATCGCGTCAAGATACATTCGCCGTACCCCGTTTATGAAAGTCGTCTCAAAAATCGCACCACGGTCTTCCCTCGGGACACCCTTCCAAGTCTTGGCGCCCCATCTCAGGACCGTCACTGCGTTCTTAAAATATTCATATTTATGGGCGTATTCCCTTCCCAGCGTTCCGTCGAGAAAGCCTCTCATGATCCAAAAACTGTGTCTCCTCAGTAGAGAAACCAAAGTCGCTGAAGAAGCTCACCGGACGTTCATGGTCATGGCCATACGAACAGGGCGCCAGCCTTCCCTCTTGACTCTTGCCGGGGCCTGGGACATTATTTGGGATGGACTGACATGAATCGGCCAAGGTTTATAGTGCATCTGTTCTAGCTGCACTACATGAAGGCTCGTAAGGAACGTTTGTTACTACGACGATCTATGACTTACTTTGCCGATTAAAGATATCGAGCCAGCTGCTACCATCAATGTGGAATACGTGCTCGTTAGAAATCAAGGCGTTAACGAGAGACTGAAGAGCCTAGGTAGTGCGTGAGACGGAGCGTACGCGACTGGGAGATGTTCGCTTACCCCCGTGTCGCCGACGACCGCTACACCCTGACTGTTATGAATCAACCTGGAGTGCTTCATGATCTGGACGCCATCGAAAAATTCCTGTTCAGTATTATCAGTTTCTCGTCGATCAAAACATCAGTTCTTCTTACCCTATAAGCACCGTCCAACGTCCACGCCTGCATGAGGTTCGGTGAGACGCTATCTACCATAAGAAGACGAAGCGTACCGAGCTGTCAAAGTATTGTGTTCGCTTGAGATCATCGATCATCTCACCGGCGACAATCCAAGGTGGCTTATCGACCAATGAATTAAACTGGTAAGCGTCGGGGTTTGCTTCCTGGATAGGAATCGGGGGTCTGTCGATGATCTCTTGTGAGAGCTTCATTCCTTCTTCATACTGGGCCTTCTGCTTTGATTCAGCCGGAGATAGATTCTCCTTGGGGAGGGTTTTTATGGCTGTCTGGTACGCTTCGACGCTGCGTCGGTGCTCGCCGATCAACTGAATATTGACATAAGAAAGATAGTCGCGCCTATGTCGTGTGGGCTCACGTTGTACGCGTCTCCAACTCTTCCCCAAGCCTTGGAATACGTCGGATCGAGCTTCGTTGCCTTCGAAGATGTTAGTTCCCGATTAGTGCGATCAACATTTAAGGACGCGTACAGTGACAGCGTCGGCCAGAGCTTCGGTATATCTGCATGACAGGAAACGTCAGTGAACACATCGCACTGAATCAGACGAAAGATTCACATACCGCTTCAACGAGCGTTGACATGCAGATCGATTTGCGTAGAGAATCGCGTTTTGATCGTCCAACGCGATTGCTTTTGTGTATTTCACAATAGCCGAAGCGTAGTCCTTCCTCACAAACAACGCGTTACCCTCCGCCTTCAATGTTTCGGCCGTAGGACTGGCGCTCATCGTGGAATAAAGCGAAGAAGCGGTACATTGACGTCATGTGAGTGAGCACTCGGACGTTTTGAACACCAGCACTGGCAGAACAACTCGGACTGCGAGGACCAAATATTAGAAATGACCGTAAGAGAGCGAGTAGTTGATTGTAATCGTGACACGTTTCAAGTTTGAGTTCCCCTGAGGAACGGCCGTGCCATGGAAATGTCATTATGGCGGCCGAGACTCGATTTCCTGCCCCCGATCACTTTCTCTCTTACCATCACGTTGACGGCAACGACGAACAGAGATACCGACACCTCTCTCGCGGGCAATAGTAAGTATTTCCTCCATATCATCTCTTCTTCATGAATCAACCACCTCCTCAGAATACATCCTCAATATGACAATGGACCCCAAGTTTCCTTTAGAACTTGGTGACCTTATTCTCGACTGCCTTGACTGCAACGACGATGGAGTAACCCTCCGGAACTGTGCACTGGTGTCTAGAGGCTGGGCGCGCTCCAGTCAGCGCAATCTCTTTCGCAATATGAAGCTTCCCTTGCCGTACGAAGATATGACGAGGCTTCGTACCTGCCTTGAAGGCTCTCCGCATCTTGCCACCTATAGTAGATGCATCACCTTTGGACAGGGGTGTATGTCCCGTTCCCAAGAAATTGCCCGGATGGATGCGTACATGACCTGTTTGGATGCCTTGCTCTCTCTCTTCTCGCGCGCCACCTCGGTAGAAGTCACGCTCATCAGGGAAAGGTGGTCCGACGCGTTGCTGGAGCGATTCCTCGCGCGACTTCACGTGTTCATCTGCGCCTCTCCAGTCGTCGAACTCACAGTGGACACCTGTTACTTGGACACCGTCTTACCAGCCCTCGACGGACTGTTAATTGGCAGCCGCATCAGACGATTAACAGTCCTTGAATGGGAATCTTGGGATGCAGACCAGCCATCGCCGCCCACTGTCATTGCACCTCTATCGTCGCTTGAGGTGATACGTCTCGGGACCTCAGGTTATCAGGACCGGGATATTTTAGACTGGTTAAACCATCAACAGGAGAGACTTCCGAAATTGAAGTGCTGTGAAATTCTCGTGACGGGCACCTACGACGTGCGTCGGTGGGGCGGAAATTCAAATGAATTCCGGAATCCGTTTGAATCATTAAGATTGGAAACGTTCCGATTCGAGTTTTCTAGTGGTGTGTACCTCTTCGTAGACCCTTTAACTGCAAGTTGCTGACAGTAGCCTAGATTTCCTTGAAAGCTATCCGGGTGGTTGGGGCCGCTATCCTCTCATTCTCAAAGGCCTGCATTTCCGGCATATATTGTTCACCATCCACGTCCCGCCGAGGCCTCGAACAGCATTGAGTGTCGACCTTGTCCGACACATCACGGAGTGGTGGACGAAGACCCTGAACACTCTATCTGATTCCAAAGCAAGTGTCTGTTTTACGGAATTGACGTTCACCGCTCATCTCTTGGCCGTGTCGGAGGTCATGGAGGCTTGGCATGCGCTGGACATGGCCCTCTGCCACGAAGCGTTTCGGGGAATGCGTAGCGTTTACTTCGAGAATCTGAAAGGCTGCAGAATCACAGAAGGAGACTATCCGACTGATGCAGCCCTTATTCAGCTTGCACTCCCTGGACTTGCCGGACGTGGTCTTCTGTCCTTGTAGCGGATTACAGTTTCGGTCGGATTGAAGCTTTGGTCACTGAGTGATAGAATAAATCAGCCCCCGGCTTCGACATTCTAAACGAAGGACCGGAGAAAATGTGAATGGGACAGATTACTTGCACCTACTTACAGGCCTTTTACAAATGCTTGACCAAACGCGGTCGATCACCGAAAATAATCGAAATAATCAGTAAATTCAATAAATTCATTTTGACGCGAATACACATTCTACAGAGTCCCCAAGCATTTGAAAGTGTCATAGACCGACGACAGAAACATCTTTGGGTAGAATGAGGGAGGTGGAGGGTCCGGGGAAAGGAAATCTCGTCGTGCCACGGTCGTGGTTGGTTTTGAGGCACTCCGTCACTTCCCCTCTGCTCTGGGAGGTTTCCTGCACAAACAGAGGGTTGTATTGAGTCTGGAACCATGTTTGATTGGTACGGGGCTGGTTCTGGCGCGGGGAGACGGCAGGAGACAAGATCATTAGAACACGACATGATGATACATTTTGACGACGCACCCCGAAGCCCTAATGATTTTCTTTTGCCCCCCAAAAACAATAAGAAAGGCTTCCCAGAGAGCTGCATGTCTGTTCCTTGCGTGCTGAGTGCGCCGAGACTGGCATGCTGTGTCGCTGGAATGTCGTGGTCAGAATCAGGTGCTTGCGCAAAAGTTGTCCAATACGGTCGCAGGCGGTGTCAAAAGCATTCTCGAGAACAGAAGCAGTATCCCTGAGGTAACTGTCAATTCTTGCGGCGCGCGCGTGTGGTAGGAGACAAGAAACGAATTTATTGAATTTACGGATTAATCTGATTATT